GGGGGGAGGAGAGCACAGGGATGTGGGTGGGTAGCTGGATGGCTATATGGCGGACTTGCACAATGACGAGCAAACGAGGGATGTGGGTGGAAAAAAAAGGACACAGCAAACAAACATGACACAGAGAGACGACCACCAATACGGCGCTTGATTAAAAACATGTGAGAGAATCGAAGGGGCGGTGCTGGGCGACAGGATAAACACGTGATGCGAATCAATGCCATTATTCAGCAGGGCCTTTTTTTGCGCGATAGCGTTTCGTTTCGATGTGTTTCAAATGTAGATGTCGTCGGCGGCCGAGGGATAAAGGGAGAAGTGGAGGAAAGAGGGGGGGGGGGGGGTCTCTGGTCCCCCTGCGTCGTAAAACCTACCCAAGTTTTCTTACTTCACCCGACTTCACCGTCCTGCTTCTGCGCAGAAATAATCGTCGGCTGAGTCCGGAGCCGTCGGCACGCTCTGGTATCGACGTGTCGCCCAGTTCCTCCCCCGTCCAAGTCCGACCACCCTCATCCCCCACCCCCCGCGCACCTGGCGCCCTACTGCTTCTCGCTATTCTCCGGCCAGGCCGCACAAGTTACGAGAGGAGACTCAAAAAATCTCATTAATTTTCCTGTGTTATCTGCGTTATATTTTTTATTTCTTTTCAATCTCCCCCCCCCCCTTCTTGCTCCCATCCGACGTCTTGTGATCGTGTCTCTATTCATCTCGCTCGTTCTCCGGGTCTCCGCCCACGCTCCTGGCTTGTCGCCTCTCTCTTTCTCTCTCTCTCTCTCTCTCTCTCTCTCCTCGTCCCCACACTTCCGCAGATGGGCGATCTTTGGCCGATTAGAAGGCAGGATGTACGAGGCTGGACTCGACGATCGGATGCACGTCGATCTTCTCCAGGAGACTGGTCGCGCGGCCTCTTTCCTAGGAGGTGATTTAATCTCTGAATTAAATTCGTGAACTCTCGTCCGGATTAGTCAACTAATTAGTGTCGAGTCACTCAAAATATGAGGACAGAACAGGTCTGATTCCTGTTTTCCTGGAAGTCTTGTCCCACCAAGTTGAACATGGCCCACGTGGACAGGGTGAATCAATCAGCTGACAACCGAACCCACGTGGACAGGGTGAATCAATCAGCTGACAACCGAACACTCTAGATACGTCTCTGGCAGGTGCCGGGCCGCGGGGCTCGCGGACGACTATGGACGGCGCACTCTTTGGCGTCACGTCGTCGGCGACCTTGGCGGTCCTGCTTCTCTAGGAACGGCTCGAGGATCACCGGGCTCCAGAGGGGGTCCAGAGACTCGCCCGGTTATTCCACAACGACGAACGCCAAGAATTCGATTCGGCCCATTGCCCTGGTCGGGCCGGGGCAGCCGAAGCGGGATTCCGCACCCCCCCTCCCTTCCATGCCCTCTTCATCTCCCCCCCCCCCTTTTCTCTCTTTCTCCGTCCCGCGTGTCTCAGGGCGTCGACTTGACTGGGACGTAGATTTCCAAATCGCATAGACGGCTCACGATAAGCCCGTTTGAATACGCAGCGGAGCGGCACAGCTGCTGTAAGACAAGCTTCGCCCCCGCGCCCGCGCCCGCACCCGCACCCCTCCGCCTCCCCGTCCCGGTCCTCACGGCCACGTCCTGGGGGAGGAAACGTCCTCAGCACCTGAGCGATGAGCGGGAGGCGAGGCAGCAGACTTTCCGGCGAAGTGGAAGCAATTCCCTGCATACCAGCGCCATGCCGCGCCTCGCCACGCCGCCCACGCCACGCCACGCCACGCCACGCCACGCCACGCCGCGCGGAAGGAGGGTAGAGAAACGACTGACTACGCCCGGGGAAAGGAGGGATGGAGGGGACGGCCGGCCGGAGGGTGGCGACTCATCCCGCATCACGAATTCGAGAGAAATATTTTTTCATGGAAAGTTGTCGCAAACCAAATCGGGTCGTATGTTGGGCGGAGAGTTCGTTTACTGACTCTCCCCCTCCACCCCTTCTTTT